GTGGAGTGTTTGCTACTGTGTAACAGTGGGCATAGCTTTTCTCTATGCACATTAAAGGAACATGCTGTTTTAGACCAGTTTGAATGAATACAGATGTAGCAAAAAATAAAATAAATAAAATAAAACCTACTTTTTGCTTTGCGTGGTAAGTGCTGAACTTCCAGAACAGTTCAGTCAGTATTAATCCCAAAGCAAAGATATCCACTTCATTTTCATAAGTGTCGTTTTCCTGCAAAACCAACCAGATATTAGTACTTAAAAAAAAAAAAAAAAAAAGACAACAGCCTATCATCAGATTATACATACTGTTAAAATGTCAGGTTTCTGTGATGTAAAAAAATTAGACAAAAGATAAATCATTTCAGAACTTTTTCCACCTTTAATGTGACCTATAAACAGTACAACTCAATTGAAAAACAAACTGAAATCTTTTAGGGAGGGGGGGAGTAAACATAAAAACTAAAATAATGTGGCAAAAAGCCATGGTCCACAGAGAGCTTCCAAAGCACCAGAGGGATCTCATTGTTACAAGGTATCAGTCAGGAAAAGGGTACAAAAGAATTTCCAAAGCATTAGATATACCATGGAACACAGTGAAGACTTGGCGTCCCTCCAATAACAATGAAAAGACAAGATGAAAACTGGTCTGGAAGGCTACCAAGAGGCCTACAGCAGCATTAAAGGAGCTGCAGGAATATATGGCAAGTACTGGCTGTGTGGTACATGTGACACCAATCTCTAGTATTCTTCATATGTCAAGGCTATGGGGTAGAGTGGCAAGATGGAAGCCTTTTCTTACAAAGAAAAACATCCAAGCCTGACTAAATTTTGCAAAAACACATCTAAAGTCTCCCAAAAGCATGTGGGAATATGTTTTATGGTCTGATGAAACCAAGGTTGAATTTTTTGGCCATAATTCCAAAAGATATATTTGGTGCAAAAACAACACTGCACATCACCAAAAGAACACCATACCCACAGTGAAGCATGGTGGTGGCAGCATCATGCTTTGGGGCTGTTTTTCTTCAGCTAAAACTGGGGCCTTAGTCAAGATAGAGGAAATTATGAACAGTTCCAAATACCAGGCCATATTGGCACAAAACCTTCAGGCTTCTGCTAGAAAGCTGAAAATGAAGAGGAACTTCATCTTTCAGCATGACAATGACCCAAAAGCATACATCCAAATCAACAAAGGAATGGCTTCACCAGAAGAAGACTAAAGTTTTGGAATGGCCCTGCCAGAGCCCAGACCTGAATCTGATCGAACATCTGTGGGGTGATCTGAAGAGGGCTGTGCACAGGATATGCCCACGCAATCTGACAGATTTGGCGTGTTTTTTGCAAGGAAGAGTGGGCAAATATTGCCAAGTCAAGATGTGCCATGCTTATAAACTCGTACCCAAGAAGACAGAGTGCTGTATTAAAATCAAAAAGGTGCTTCAACAAAGTATTAGGCCCCATGTACACGGGACACTTCAGAACGATGGAAAATGTAGGTTAAAAAATGTCCGATTAGCCGTGTTTGCATAATGTGTTTATGTGCATTTGCGTTTGAACCGTTTTTAAAGATAAGCACAGGAGAACCTCCTAAATGCCCAGAATGCACTGAAAAGTGGTAAATTATGAACTATTTCAGACTGGTTCAGAGAAACACAGAGAGTAGAAGCAGAGACAGCAGTATGTGTTGAGATTAGGTGTGAGTTGCTCATTAACATCTCTTTTGTTTCCAAGGGTGGGAAAGGTGCCTGGACTGAGTCATTAAGGCCACCTGGCAGGGGGTCTTCATGAGGAATTTGAGGTGTTAATGGTCATTAACATATCTTTTGTTTCCAAGGGTAGGAGAGGTCTGAGGTGTGAATTGGTCATTACAATGTGTGACAAGCTTGGTTGGAACATTCTGTGTTCAGTGTTTTGTCCATCTGAGTACCTTGAAAACGCTTTCAATGCATTTTTCCTGATGGACAGCATTGGGAACTGGAAAAGTTAAAAAACATTTTCAAACGCAAACACTTAAATGCGACTTGCAGCGTTTAGCCGAATTTACAAGCGTTTTGCGTTTGAACCGCCGATAAAATAGACTGCTGAACGCAAGTTTTCTGCATTAAAAAAAAAAACAACTCTAAACTCAAATGCCTGTAAACGAAGATGTGTATATGGACACATAGGAAAACATTAGGGTGAATTCAGGGGCTGCTGAAAAAAATGCTGAACAGCTCCTAAACGTGAGTTTATCAGCTACATGAGCCCTTAGTTTAAGGGTGTGCACACTTATGCAACCATATTATTTTAGTTTTTTAGTTTTTACTCCCCTCCACCTAAAAGATGTTGTTCAACTGAGTTGTACAGTTTATAGGTTACATTAAAGGTGGAAAAGTTCTGAAATGATTTATCTTTGTCGCATTTTTTTACATCACAGAAACCTGACATTTTAACAGGGGTGTGTAGACTTTTTTATATCCACTGTATGAGGGCGTTCAAGTAAAACCGAGACTTTTAATTTTACAGGTATAAAAAAGGGATGCTAGAGTGGTGGTACTACACGCAGTAGTAAGTAGCAAGTGTGTCCTGTGGCAGCGCACATGTCGCGGGCCAGTCCACAGACTGTTAATCAAGATGGCAGACAACATTTTTAGTGCATGCATGTAACAGCGTGTGGTGATGAAGTTTCTTGCGAATGAAGGCTTAAACCAGCAGATACCTACAGAAGACTTCAAGCACAGTATGGAGAGGAGACGCTCAGCTGCAATAAGACATTTGAATGGTGTAAATGTTTCAAAGATGGCCATACGTCCATCGGTGATGATCTCGGCCATGGTGGTTCCCAGCCTACAGCAGTCATTCCTGTGAACATTCAGTGCATGGAACGCATGACCCTGGATTGTAAAATTGCACAAGAGACTAATCCTTTTGAGGGAATGGAGAACACAATCATGAAGTAGTGAAGCAGGCTATCTTATGATGGTTCAGGCGTACTGACAAATCTTTCTATGCCGAAGCTTTCCAGGTATTAGTTAAATGCTGGGATCATTGTAGTAGGGGAGTATGTAAAAAAATAAATGCAGTTTCTCCTTGCAATTTTCAGATTTGGTAGTTCTGGATTGGGCTGGGAGATTTGGAAGGATTCAAGAGTTTTCAGCGAGATGGAACCTTCAATCCAGGTACCTCAAAGCAGATGGAGGTGAAGTTGTTGCAGTTGCTGCAGTCAGGATGGAGGTGTGCACCTGTCTGGAGACCAAGGTGATATGCACTCCATGTGGGAGAGGTTCCAAGGCATGGACTGAGAGAGAAATGGGCCAGCTAAGAGACTGCAACAGTCTGGGAGACTACAGCTGAGGCAACTGGGGGAGTCCAGGGGAGCCAAAGGAATCTGTAAGTCTCTGAGAAATGAGAGTGCCTTGGGTATCAGCAGAACCTCTACCTAGGGGATAAGAGTAGGCCAGTGCAGCGAGGTACTACAATTAAGGGTAAGTAAGCTTAAGAACCAGATGGCTCAGCATTTTCGTTTGGCGTGCACGTGAAATTCATGCATGGGAAACCCTATGTTGTAAAGACTTTTTTCTTTAAAAAGTGGGCTACCAGGCCCTTAACTATAATTGCAGTCAGCTGTGGACTCACTGTACAAACACATCTATCACAAGAGCTAACATCCCCCAGATCAATATACACAGTATATAAAACATAAGCAGACTCAAAGGGGTTAATTTAGTAAAACTGGAGAGTGCAAAAATGTGTGCAGCACAGCATAAAAACCAATCAGCTTCCAGGTGTTATTGTCAAAGCTCAATTGAACAAGGTGAAGTTAGAAGCTGACTGGCTACCATGCACAGCTGCACCAGATTTTGCACTCTCCAGTTTTACTAAATCCACCCCAAAGTTATTATTTTCCCCTCATTAAGTGCAGTTTCCTCCCAGTGTTCAGAATGCCCAGGTGCCGTGAATAACATTTCCTGGGTCAATTAGGTTTGGAGCTTGCCCCTGTCCTTGCCATCGCCTAAGCCTCACCATTAGGCTTTAATCCTGATGGGCAGACTTACTGCTCTAATCCACTGCTGAGATGCCTGTGTAAAGTTTTACATGTTAAGTCCTAGGCAGACTTTGGCCACCAGCACATGAGAACTGAAGGGCCTGGTGACTGGCATGGAGGTCTGCATAATCGGAAGGAGGGGAAAGTGTTGTGTTCTTTCATACCTGAACGTATTGGACTTTTCTTGGGCAGCGTGGCAGTGGAACAGGTCAGTGTGGAGAATAAGCAATGTAAGTACTAGTTATATGTACTATATAATAATGTGAATTTGTTACTCTGCCAGTAAAGATACAATTCAGGTTCACATGACCAAAGATAATGAGAGCAAGAAAGCCTGGGAACTGCTGGTTATTGGATGAGGTTCTCGAACATGTTGAACAAGATAATTATTTTTTCTCATTAGTTATTGCCTATCATAAATATCATAGGTAGAATTGTATTTATTGCTAAACTTGGGTATGAATGGTACCTTTTTCTACCTGCATTGACAAGATTTTCAAAACCTGCCCATATGCGAAAAAACTGCGTAGAAAATAACTGCAAAGCAACTTTTTCTTAACTATTTTATGTTCTATACTACAATGTATACTGTACGTAGGAATCAGGGGCAGACTGACCATTTGGGAACTCGGGCACTGCCCGGGGTCAGTAGGGGGCCCCCATGAGATTTCCCTGGTACCTTTCATAGGCTTTTTTTGGGTGTGGTTTGAGCGTAGGCAAGGACACAGGGGCCCCATGATCCCCTATTGCCCAGGGGCCCCATGAGATGTCAGTCCGCCCCTGGTAGGAATCATTTCCCTTTCCTGGGGATCTGCTATATTCTGTTTGTATGCGGGAACAAAAGAAATGCTCTAACAGATTTTTGTGATCAGAGACATACAGGAATGTTAGGAATAAAGAACTGTGCCAGCTGCATATATAATAACATGCTTACCTGTTCTGGGGCCATGTAACGTTTGGTTCCCTTTCCAGCAGTCCTGAGTAATCCCTCTTTCTCCAGTTTTTCACTTATTGGGGTAACTAGACCAAAATCCGCTATCTTTACTACCATATCGTCTGCAAACAAAATATTTGGAGGCTGTAACAGGAAGAGATAAACCATTAATCTACACTGTAGACAATGCCATATACTACTATGTACCCTCAAGGGGCTCATAAGCAATCTCCAAATCCTGAGTAATGACAAAACAGGAGCAGTTGTAAAACCATAGTGCTTCTTTACAGCAATTGAGCCAAGCCAAAAGAGAATGTTTTTTTTTTTAGATGAATGGGATCATGCATGCATGTTCAATTGTTCACTTAGAATTAGAAAATACAGTTAATGAATTTGTCAAGAAGGTCTAAGAGGGAATACAGTCTCTGTAACGACTCATATAATTGCGTTTCTTTAATATTATTCATATAACTGAAAATCAAGGCCAGATTTACTTAACTTATAATATGCATAAAATGTTTAACATTCTAAGCCCCACTAAATATAGCCCTGCAAGAACCAGCGCATGCCAACTATGTTGGTGCAGTTTTTTCGAAACATAAAAATACTATATGTAAATATATCTATACCCTGCAAAATATGTACAACCAAGGTAACCATTTTGAAGTTTGCCATATTGTTAAGTAATTACAATATAGCAAAATTGTGTTTTTGTATACTTTTGTTCATAAAATTACCCTGCTTTTGATTCCCATTATACAGAGGTGGATGGCAGGTTAATGTGGAGAATATATACAAATGAAGTGAACCAATGCCATCAGACCATTACCACTACTTTTTTTTTTTTTTTTTTTTTTAATTCCTTTAAAACCAAACAGAATGGAGAAAAACAAGGAAGTGTGCATACCAAATTTCCAAGCTTCACTTTGTGTAGTTCAATTCACAACATAATTAAAATATGCAATTACTCTATTTCAAAATTAAAAAAAATTTACAACTTTATATTTTTCTTTTCGACAACCTGACACACAAGAATCAGTCCACTGTTTTCAAGATATATTAAAATGAATGTTATCACTGTACAAATTTGGAAAAAAAAAAGGTGACAAATCTATCCTGAATATTTGTTGTATATCGTTCACCATAAAAAAAAGCCCCATATACATATATACACACAACCCTACCAATAGATATAACTAATTTATATGATAAATGTTTATATTTATATTATATCCATAACGCACAAATTTATTCAGATTAATGTCGAACCCATTGCAGACTCTGGATGTTTTACACACGCCCAAAAAAATGTCATCATTGTACACAGGACGTATGTAGAACATCCGTTCCCTCTGCCCTGCTGCCAGGATCCTCCCTGTCCCTGTACACAGCAATTCAGCCCTGAATATTGACAGCTGCCTTGCCACAGAGAAGGTCCTGGGTAACTGGAGCTGTAAAAAAAAACCCCAAAAAAAAAAAAAAAAAAAATGTTTCAACAATCAACAACATTGCTCAGAGAATACAGAAAGATACAAAGAATCGTTTCATTTTGTATCTTTCCATTTACAGTTCAAAAGGATTAACCACTTGCTTTCCAGAGGCTTTACCCCCCCCCCCCCTTCCTGACCAGGCCATTTTTTGCATTTTGGTGCTTCATTAATTTAACTGACAATTGCGCGGTCATGCAACGCTGCACCGAAATGAAATTTACGTAGTTTTTTTCCCACAAATAGAGCTTTCTTTTGGTGGTAATTGATAGCCTATGCATTTTAAATTTTTTGCACTATAAGAAAAAAAAAAACTATTTTGAGGAAAAAAAAAACTATTTTTGACTTTTTGCTATTAAACATGTCCAGTAAAAAAAAAAAAAAAAAAAAAAAATCTAATTTTATCATAAATTTAGGCCAAAATGTATTCTGCTACATGTCTTTGCTAAAAACAAAATTCCAATACGTGTAAATTAATTGGTTTAAATGGAAGTTATAGCATTTAAAAATGGCAGTATATACACTGGGCTTTTTTTAATTTTTATTTTTACTAGTAATGGCAGTGATCAGCGACTTATACTGTGGCACACATTCTAACACTGGGGGGAACTGACATCCCCGGTGACACCAATACAGTGATCAGTGCTATTAAAAAGCAATGACACTGTACTAAATAGTACTGGGCATGAAGGGGTTAACATGTGGGACGATCAAAGGGTTAACTGTGCACTGTTTTACATCATGTTCTGTGTTTGTGCTTCACTGTAAGCACACTGCTTTGCATGGCTGTGCTGTGCACAGCCATGCAAAGCAGTGTGTATGAGCTGACAGGGAGGGAGAACTATTTTGTTTACTAACAATTCTCCCCCCCCCCATGAATCCAGTGATGACAGCCGCGCATGAACGTGTAGCGCTGGGTAGGGCGTGTGCGCACCCCCTACCCAGAAATGCAAAGTCATGTATATATACACACACGTGATTTTGCGCACAGCTGCCACCCTATAGCAGTATATCTGCTGTGGGGCGGAGCTAAAGCGGTTAACTTCAGTCTGTAGATTAAGTCCAGTAAAATAAAACCTGACAAGTTAAAAAAAAAATGTGTATATATTTTTTTTAATGAAATGGTCTTCTGTTTAACCCTTTGTTTACTCTAATCAGCCTAAATAACTAATTCTCCTCCATTCAATTATAATTTATCTGATGATTTTTTTTTTTGTTTGTTTTTATTCCAGTAACTAAGAATATTTAAACTTTTTTTTGTTTTTGTTTGCCTTGTACATTAATATTTTTACACACTTCATACTTTTTAATGTGCAGTAACACTATTTATTTTTAAACTTACGTTGCTCAAATACAGAAAAAGTGATTTTTGTTTGTCTAAAGATTACAAAAACAAAAAAAAAAATCTTTGTTGCAGGACAATATTCAAGAAAAAAAAGGCTTTTTTGTACTTCAAAAAAAAACTTAAAATAAAAAAATATATATATGTATTACTTTGTTATCCTAACCACCCACAGTACTTCTACTGTGGACGGGTGGCAGCTACAGTCAAAAGAGTCATAACAGTATGTCGCTCTGCCTGCACTAACACAGTGGGCACAGCGTGCCCCCACCGTGACAGTTGTGTCCACTGAACACAGCAGAATGCGGTTCCCAGTGATTGAGGCTCAGTGATAATGTGATCGCTATGCGAGGAAGTATCATGAGGAAATATGCCCATTGAAAGCCTGGAGGTAGTCACTGGATTTTCAGGGCCTGGATAGGCCATCAAAAAGTCTCTGACGTGGTATCCCCATACTTGGGAGAAGTAGCAGAATGTGTAATGGGGGTATTATTCCACATATACCCATGGAATGCGTGAGCAATACATCATTTAATTTAAAATATATGTTAAAAAAAAAAAAAGTAATTTTTCAAACATTTGTGGCAAAAAATAAAATCTTTCATGGACTCAAAATGCCTCTCAAGAAATTCCTTGGGGTGTCTACTTTCGAAAAAGGGGTCATTTGGGGGGAACTGTACTGCCCTGGCATTTTAGCTCCTCAAAAATGTGAAGTAGTTAGAAAGTAAAAGCTGCGTAAATTCCAATATATATACCATAGTTTGTAGACGCTATAACTTTCACACAAACTAAATTAATATACACATATTGGGATTGGTTTTTTTTTTTTACCAAAGACATGTAGCAGAAATGTATTACTAACATTATCTATTGGATATTTTTTATAACTGAAAGTAGAAAATATTTTGGTGGGGGGGGGGGGGGTAGGAGTGGGTTCAAAATTTTAATTTATACCACAAAAAAAATAAAAAACCTGGTGAGCAAATACCACCAAAAGAAAGCTCTATTAGTGTAAGAAAAAAAGGACATCAATTTTGTTTGGGTACAGAGTTGCATGACCACACAATTACCTGTTGAAATAGTGTAGTGCTGAATATCAAACAACTGCCTGGTCAGGAAGGGGTGTAAACTCTTCCAGACCTGAAGTGGTTAAGTCATGACAAAGTTATCGCCAAATACACAGGTCAATATCAGAAATGTAAAAATTGCTCTGGTCCATTAGGTTGTGAGAGGCTCTGGTGAACAGGTGTGAGAGGCGAAGTGGTTAAAGAACGTTCAAGAACACTGCTAACAAGACAAATTAAATGGAACTTACTTTTAGGTCTCTGTGAATTAAATTTCTAGAATGAATGTACTCCACTCCATCCACTATTTGTTGGGAAACTGTAAGACTCTTGAGCTTATCAACTTTTTCCATCCTTTCAATCCATTCTTCCAGTGTTCCTTTTGCACACCATTCCATTTGTATGAACAGGCACTTTAGCTTCTGGTTCTGGCTACAACCCAAAACAACAAAAAGGTTTATGATTTCTTAAGATAGGGTTTCTCAAAGAAAGGTATTTTATAACAATTTTTAAAAGTCTTTCTTTCTGTTGTTTTTTACACTGTTCCCTACATCTTTACTGGGACCTGTAATGACACAGGGGCCAATGGAAGGAACCACGGAGCATAGTAGACGACAGCATCTGATACCTCCAAAAGTGTTGGATGTGGGAGACCTTTTGACAAGCTTCGTTCTGCAAGTTCGGGTGGAGTTAGACAGCATAGGCAATGTGAGCATGTTTTCAGCTTTTTTCTGACAGTTTTCTGTCAGCTTAAAATAGTTTGTGTGCAACAAGCAGATCCAAACTATTACCTTCACTAACAGATGCGCCGCTGAGAGTGTTGTGTAGACTGTATGTAGCATAAGCTATATACAGTGCATCCAGAAAGTATTCACAGCGCTTAACTTTTGCCACATTTTGTTATGTTATAGCCTTATTCCAAAATGGATTAAATTAATTTTTTAATACCCCATACAATACCCCAATAGCCCATAAACGACAATGTGAAAGAAGCTTGTTTTGAAATCTTTGCAATTTATTAAAAATTAAAAAAAAAATACATGTACACAAGTATTCACTGCCTTTGCCATGACACTCAAAATTGAGCTCTGGTGCATCCTGTTCCTACTGATCATCTTTGAGATGTTTCCACAACCTAACTGGAGTCCACCTGTGGGAAATTCAGTTTGATTGGACATGATTAGGAAAGGCATAAACCTGTCTATATAAGGTCCCACAGTTAACAGTGCATGTCAGAGCACAAACCAAGCCATGAAGTCCAAGGAATTGTCTGTAGACCTCTGAGACAGGATTGTATCAAGGAACAGATCTGGGGGAAGGGTATAGAAAAATTTCTGCAGTATTGAAGGTCCCAATGAGCACAGTGACCTTCATCATCTGTAAATGGAAGAAGTTTGGAACCACCAGGAATCTTCCTAGAGCGGGCTGTCCGGCCAAAATGAGTGATCGAGGGAGAAGGACTTTATCCAGGGGAGCTAACCAAGCATCCGATGGTCACTCTGAAAGAGCTCCAGCATTTCTCTGTGAAGAGAGGAGAACCTTTCAGAAGAACGACAATCTCTGCAGCACTCCACCAATCAGGCTGGTATGTATGGTAGTGGCCAGACAGAAGCCACTCCTCAGTAAAAGGCAAATGGCAGCCCACCTGGAGTTTGCCAGAAGGCACCTGAGGGACTCTCAGACCATGAGATAGATACAAAACTCTCTGGTCTGATGAAGCAAAGATTGAACTCTTTGGCCTGAATGCCAATGTCATCTGGTCGAAACCAGGCACTGCTCACCACCTGGCCAATACCTGTGGGGATGTTTTTCAGTGGCAGGAACTAGGAGACTAGTCATGATCGAAGGAAAGATGAATGCAGCAATGTATAGAGACATCCTTGATGAAAACCTGTTCCAGAGCGCTCTAGACCTCAGACTAGGGTGACGGTTCATCTTTCAACAGGACAACGACATAAGCACACAGCCCACATAACAAAGGAGTGGCTACAGGCCAACTCTGTGAATGTCCTGGAATGGTCCAGCCAGAGCCCAAACTTGAACTCGATTGAACATCTCTGGAGAAATTTGAAAATGGCTTTGCACAGACGCTCCCCATCCAACATGATGGAGCTTGAGAGGTACTGCAAAGCAGAAATGTAGAAATTGCCAAAAATAGGTGTGCCAAGCTTGTAGTATCATACTCAAAACGACTTGAGGCTGTAATTGGTGCTAAAGGTGCTTCAACAAAGTATTGAACAAAGGCTGTGAATACTTATGTACATGTGGTTTTTTTTTTTTCATTTTTTATTTTTAAGAAATTGCAAAGATTTCAAAATTAACTTCTTTCATGTTGTCATTATGGGGTATTGGTTGTAGAATGTTGAGGGAAAAAAAGGAATTTAATCTAGCTTGGTCCAAACAAATTATTTTGAAGTGACAGAAAGCTGTAGTTCAGCTTTGTATTTCAATGATTTTTATTAATTTATAAAAAAACAGGAGCAACAAGACACGGCCTTCAATTGCACATAAACAATTAAGTTCAGCTTTAAATGTATAGATTAATTTTACTTTGTCTTTAAAATCATAACAGCACACTTTCTTATTATACCTGAAAGGAACCTAATGTGTTCGAAAAGTTTGTATCCAAGCAACTTCATTTATCAAATACAGGGTACAAAACTCAAAACTTCCTGCACCGATTTATGGCTAATATAGTATAGTACTGCTACTATAAATCATGTATGATTTACAACATGTGTGGTTATTAAAAAACAAGGATTATTTAAAACAGGGCTTGAAAAAGACGTTCGCCCGCTCGCCAAATGCGAGCAGAAATTCGACGCTGCGACTGCACCTGCACTCCAAGCCTCATTGTGAAGCTGAGTTCCGGTTTACAACTTCCGGTTTCCGGCTTCTGCGGCACCGCCGCTGAGGGACAGGTGCAGGAGAGGTCCGCTCTCCTACACTGAGAGGAGACACCCTCTCCACCGCCGCGGGAGACTCGGGGGGACAGTAAGTACTGTATACAGTGGGGATCGAACGTTTGGGCACCCCAGCTAAAAATTTGTATTAATATGCATAAAGAAGCCAAGGAAAGATGGAACAATCTCCAAAAGGCATCAAATTACAGATTAGACATTCTTATAATATGTCAACAAAAGTTAGATTTTTATTTCCATCATTTACACTTTCAAAATAACAGAAAACCAAAAAATGGCGTCTGAAAAAGTTTGGCCACCCTGCAGAGTTAATATCCTGTACTGCCCCCTTTGGCAAGTATCACAGCTTGTAAATGCTTTTTGTAGCCAGCCAAGAGTCTTTCAATTCTTGTTTGAGGTATCTTTGCCCATTCTTCCTTACAAAAGTCTTCCAGTTCTTTGAGATTTCTGGGCTGTTTGTCACGCACTGCTCTTTTAAGGTCTATCCATAGATTTTCAATTATGTTAAGGTCAGGAGATTGTGAAGGCCATGGCAAAACCTTCAGTTTACGCCTCTTGATGTAATCCCCCATGGATTTCGAGATGTGTTTAGGATCATTATCCATTTGTAGAAGCCCATCCTCTCTTTAACTTCAGCTTTTTCACAGATGGCATGAAGTTACCTTACACAATTTGCTGAAATTTTATTGAATCCATTTTTCCTTCTACTCGTGAGATGTTTCCTGTGCAACTGGCTGCAACACAACCCCAAATAATGATTGATCCAACCCCATGCTTAACAGTTGGACAGAGGTTCTTTTCATTAAATTCTGTGCCCCTTCTTCTCCAAACGTTCCTTTGCTCATTCCAGCCAAAAAGTTAAATTTTAACCTCATAACTTTAACCACAGTAATTTTAACCTCATAATTTTAACCACAGAACTTGTTTCCAAAATGCATCAGGCTTGTCTATATGTTCATTTGCAAAGTCAAAACGATGATTTTTGTGGTGAGGATGTAGAAGAGGTTTTCTTCTGATGACTCCTCCATGAAGCATTTGTACAAGTATCTCTTTATAGTGGAATAGTGTACCACAACTCCAGTGTCTGCCAGATCTTTCTGGAGGGATCGTGCAGTCAAACGTGGGTTTTGAATTGTTTTTCCTCACAATCCTGCGAGCTGTTTTGTCTGATATTTTTCTTGGTCTTCCAGTGATCTTGCTTTAACTTCCACTGTTCCTGATGACTGCCATTTCTTAATTCCATTCCAAACAGAGGATACTGACATCTGAAAACGCTTTGCTATCTTCTTATAGCCTTCTCCAGCTTTGTGAGCGTCAACTATTTTCAGTTTCAGTTTTCTAGACAACTGCTTAGAAGAACCCATGGTGCCGATTGTTTGGGGCAAGATCAGATGAGTCTGGGCATTTAAAACCTTTGAGATTGACATCACCTGGTCTGCCCAGACGATGATTGAGAACAATCCATGACACTGGCAGGTCTCAGCTTTGCAAAGGGGGCAGTGCATGCTATAAATTCTGCAGGGTGCCCAAACTTTTGCAAGGTGCCATTTTTTTTGTTTCTGTTATTTTGAAAGTGTAAATGATGGAAATAAAATCTAACTTTTGTTGACATATTATAAGAATGTCTAATCTGTAATTTGATGCCTTTTGGAGATTTTTCCATCTTTCTTGGCTTCTTTATGCACATTAATACAAATTTTTAGCTGGGGTGCCCAAACTTTCGATCCCCACTGTACATGTCCTATCACTATAATGGAGTACTGGGGAGCTGGGATATACATTACTCAGTAATGTTATATACAGTACTCAGTAATGTATATCCCAGCTCCTCTGTACTCCATTATAGTGATATGACATGTATACAGTAATGTATATCCCAGCTCCCCTGTACTCCATTATAGTGATATGACATGTATACAGTAATCATTACTGTATACATGTCATATCACTATAATGGAGTACAGGGGAGCTGGGATATACATTACTCAGTAATGTTATATACAGTACTCAGTAATGTATATCCCAGCTCCTCTGTACTCCATTATAGTGATATGACATGTATACAGTAATGTATATCCCAGCTCCCCTGTACTCCATTATAGTGATATGACATGTATACAGTAATCATTACTGTATACATGTCATATCACTATAATGGCGACAGGGGAGCTGGGATATACATTACTGTATACAGTTTTATATTTTGGACTATTTATTCTAAAGAAAAATGTAATTTCATAAGCTTTAAGGGGGCGTGGTGGGGTTAGGGGCGGGCCTGGGCAAGGTTGGGTGGGGCAACTGGTGGAGAGTAAGTTTTGTGACTAGCTAGTAGGTCTGGACTCAAAATTTTAACCCCTGGTTTAAAAGATATCCATACACATTTGGCGGTATTGACTAATATGTACATTACTTTAGTGGCACTCCATACTTTGACAATCTCCAGTCAGATTTTTTTTCATTCATACTAATTTGTCAGCAAATTTTTGGTGGAGATAATTTGGCATATTATAT